ATGTTCTTCTAGGAATTAAAGGAAATAATAATAATATAATAAAATTGACCAGCGTGCTGTTTGGAGATGGAGTTATTACTATTATTTGTTCTTTGGGTCGTTGCTAGAACACAGGGCTCTAGAAGCATATCGTAATTTCAATACTTTCTTTGAATAAAGCAAGAATAACAGTGATGGTTTTTGCAGAATAATAAGATGGTACAATCATTGTTTATTTCGTTTGTTGGCTTCTCATCAGCTGCTGTTTACAGCCTAAATAAATTATAAAGTTTATGTACAGAAACAAACCTCTTAACCTACTTTGAGAATTTCTCTATGATTTTAGTTAACAGAAAGTTCCACAATTAGTGAACAGTGCTCAGAAAATTGCGCTTAATGTAGTTTTTACACAGGCACTTGAAGTTTAAACAAAATAAATGTATGCATACAGTAGTAAAGGAGTTAAGTAATAAAGACGAGAAATGCATTAGATGATGAGTGACTAATCAATCAGGCAACAATGCAATGATATGATAGAGAAGATTTGTAGCTCAGGTGAATGATTTTGATGTGGTTTTGTTCTCTGAGCTGGATGGTGACTGTTTCTAAACTCTGATGGTATCTGCTTTCTATGCTTTTTAGTGGTAGAATGTTCACCAGCCAATTAAGGAGTCTGGGTTTGGCTCCCGGCCAGGAATGAGGCTTACATGATCGCCTCTTGTAAATGACAAAAGCACTAATAAAATTTCAAAGATTCAAAGCTGGATGCTTTACGTCTCACTAGAAATTCAAAAGAATTACAAAAGACGTTTCTAATTTTTTTATTCCTTCATGTTATCCAGTGCAACATACGGCCTCAAGTTAGTGGCTTGAAGTTTCTGTAGCAGCGTTTAATTTTACAGGATGGGGTTGCTAGCCTCAACTGGCCCAACCTTTCCTCTTTATCAGGATTATTTCTGGCTTAACGAAGGATCGAACCCCGGACCACGTGCATGGTCGGCGAGTGTCCTAACCGCTGTGCCACATTAATCCAATTAGGTCAGAATTTTGTTAGATGACTAGAGAGAGTACTTTGATATTATTCATAGAACTAATTTAAATGAAATAGAGATCAATACTGTAGCACTAATCACCATGCACATAGTCGGGGGTTCGATACCCTGCCGACGCTCACCTGATATCAATGGTTGGCCTGTGAATTTGGGCTACCGATATCAAATGCTGAAAGTTGCATACTTGTACCAAAATACAGTGTAGAATCAAGGTGTAATCAAAAATATACACAAATGGTACTGTGTATGCACTATACATTGTACTCATGCACTGACAACAGCATTCTCATTATCAGCAGAAGCTGAACAACTGAAAATTGAAGTATGCGCTGAAGATGTCACCCAGTAGGGTGATGAAAGCTTCGCAAACTAACCATCCAGCTCAGAGAAAAAAAACCACATCAACAATGCAATGAGTTCAACTTAAATCAAAAAAAGAACAGGAGACAAGCAAAATCACACTACGTCAAAGGGGTGAGGTTAAAACCAAGGATTCGGTAATCAAATGACAGAGAGAATAAAGACATCCAGTTACCAGACAGGGGGTGAGGAAAGACTAATAACTGCTTCTTTCTGAACACATAAGTCTGGTTTCAAGTATTTGACAGAAATAGCTTCGGCAAACTTGAAGAGAACCAAGCTCCTTTGTTTATTAATAATTTTAAAGGATTTCGTGATTCTCACCTCATGACCAGTATCGAGGATATGTCTGGTAATAGTGCTATTATTATAAGAGCTTTTTCCCTTGAGATGTAGGCTTTTTGGCACATGTTCAGAAAAGCGGAGTTGTGACCTTTTTTTCTTTTCTCTGCTGTGTAATTCCTAGCTCCCACATGATTGCTTAAAAGCTTTTATCTCATTCTCAAGTGACCTTCCCCATGTTACCCTTAGACGTCTAACTCGTTACTCGTTTCCCATCCAAGTTCCACTAGAGGGCGTGGAGGATGATGTCACTGAGCAGTCTTCTTAGTGTAAACAGAGTTAGTAATTAGATGCTTCAGACATTACGATTTAAGATTTAAGTCATAATTGCGACTTCAGCTGCGCTTGCTTGTCTATATTTTTGACTTCTCCTTTTAATTGAATAACTGTCATGAACTTTATTTTATTATTGTTAACCATGTTAGTTTTAGAGCGGTTGTAAAGAAACTACGAAATAAAGATGTCACCTCGCAAAATTTGTCTTCTAAATGTCTTATTCAAATTTATCAAAGGGACTAACTGTTTTAATTTCCCATTTTAAGAGAGTTATGTAGTATATGACAACATAAGCCGTTATTCAGTTGTTCAGCTTCTACCGCTAATGAGGATGTTGTTGTCAGTGTATGAGTACAGTGTATAATGCATACATAGTGCCGTTTGTATATATTTTTGATTACACCTTGATTCCACACTGTATTTTAGTACAAGTATGCAACTTTCAGCATTTGATATCGGTAGCCCAAATTCACAGGCCAACCATTGATATCAGGTGAGCGTCGGCAGGGTATCGAACCCCCGACTATGTGCATGGTGATTAGTGCTACAGTATTGATCTCTATTTCATTAAATTAGTTCTATGAATAATATCAAAGTACTCTCTCTAGTCATCTAACAAAATTCTGACCTAATTGGATTAATGTGGCACAGCGGTTAGGACACTCGCCGACCATGCACGTGGTCCGGGGTTCGATCCTTCGTTAAGCCAGAAATAATCCTGATAAAGAGGAAAGGTTGGGCCAGTTGAGGCTAACAACCCATCCTGTAAAATTAAACACTGCTACAGAAACTTCAAGCCACTAACTTGAGGCCGTATGTTGCACTGGATAACATGAAGGAATAAAAAATTAGAAACGTCATTTGTAATTCTTTTGAATTTCTAGTGAGACGTAAAGCATCCAGCTTTGAATCTTTGAAATTTTATTAGTGCTTTTGTCATTTACAAGAGGCGACCATGTAAGCTTCATTCCTGGCCGGAAGTTGAACCCAGACTCCTTAATTGGCTGGTGAACATTCTACCACTAAAAAGCATAGAAAGCAGATACCATCAGAGTTTAGACACAGTCACCTTTAATCACCGGTAATGTTAAGAAAGTCGTTTGTTTCTTCAACAATTCAAAATCACAGCGCTTTATACCACAAATGATGCATTTAAAATTATTTTTCACGGGAGAAAGTCTTCAGTTTACTCATGAGATTTTATTCTTCCTCTCTTAAAACAATCTCGTAATCAAAACTGGAATTAATGAAAACAGAACACGAAGTTCAGTGAAGAGTCTCTTTTCGACGGCGAATTCATTTTCCTAGCTGTACAATCGCAAATATTTATGTATGGGTTATTTTGTATGTATGTGTAGATTAAGTTTGTCGAACAAAATTACAATTGGTTATGGTTATTTTAACTAAATAGGTGAAGATTGGTAATTGGAGTTACGCAATACAAAATCAGTCAAGAAAATAAGGTGTAATTGAAATTAGGGTAGTAACAAAGGTGATGAGTTGTCACAAACAGTTGTTAAAAAAAGAAGTTATATAATAATAATATGAATAGTTTGATGAGTGAGTTTTAATCAGGATACACATATGAACAAAGTAGAGTATACGAAATTACATAAGACCTCTAAATGAATAGAAGAATTATAAGCAATTAAACAGCAGGTGGAACTGACGAGGATATCAAAGCCAGAATCGGGAAAGCAAGACAAGCTTTCATTACTCTCAAATCTGTGTGGAGGTCAACAGCACTAATCGGCATCAAAAATAACATCCGGATTTTCAACTCCAATGTAAAGTCAGTGCTACTATACGGATCAGAGACTTGGCGAGTCATAAAGAGCATCTCAAACAAACTTCAGACCTTCATTAACAGTTTTCTTCGCTCAATACTCAAGATCAGATGGCCGGAAAAGATCAGCAACAGGGATCTCTGGGAGCGAACCAATCAGGAACCGATTGTGCAACAATTAGGCAGGAAGAAATGGAGGTGGATTGGCCATACTCTGAGGAAACCATCAAGTGACATCACTAGACAAGCCATTGCTCGAGTGGAACCCGAAAGGGAGGCGGCGAGTTGGTCGTCAGTGTGAGGGTGACTTGGAGGAGGTCATGCGAGGAGGAGATGAAAGCATGTGGACAGACCTGGAGCGGGGTGAAAAAGTTGTCAGAAAACAAAAGGCAATGGAGGTGGGCAGCTGAAGCCCTATGCTCCTCTAGGAACTAAAGAATACAATAATACAATACCAATAAAGAATAGGCAAACAAACAGAATTAAGTCACTGAAATCAACAAAGTTGTTACCATGACAGTAGAAGTGGTTGATTAATTCTCTTTTGTTTGCACAGCTCCATTTTTTCTATGTGAATGGCCAGAGCTTCAGCGATACAGAGAAGACGAAAATATATTGCCTTTGGTAGGTTATTCTTGACTCTGTGGATTAATTTGAAGCAGAAGGCGTTTGTTGAGATCGAATGATCAGTGTTAACCATGTGCTGAATTATCACACTCCTTATTGCACCACTATTACCTTTTTGATAACCATGGTGGATAGTGTTCTTAAGTAATTCAAACTGGAATTCATTCAACACACAGCTAAATTATGCATTCTGATAACGAAGTTGGTATTGGATGGTTGGAGGTAATCGGCCACAGGAAGCCCTCCCTGATGAACCTGCTCTTGATTTCATGCTAGTTGACACTTACCAGTCAGCAAGGCGTATCTGCAGCCTTGAAGTAAGGAACTTATGTCTTGTCTGAGATTTGAAAACGTGTCACTCAGTGAGAGCTACAGTTAGAGAAGTTACCAATACTGAGCTATTCTGGATGGCTGGCAGGCAATTGACCTCCTGTAGGATTAAGTGGGATATTTTTGATTGGACACTAGTCAGTTTTTTTTTAAAAGTCGAAATCATCATTATAAGCAGAAAAACTTATTCATCAGTTTAATATTTCATTATTTTCTATTTTCTTTTGGTTGGGGTTGGGCAATAATAGAAGAAGCTAGAACGGTAACACTCATGTCTTCGATTATATTGAATCGAGGACAATCATTTGAATGGGATGGAGAAAAGGTAAGCATTTTTGTTCATTTTTACCTTAATTAATCTTTAATCATACTATTATTATTATTATTATATCCTTTAATCCCTAGAGGAACACAGGGCTTCATCTGTACGTCCTCATTGCGTCCGGGTCTCTGCCAACGTTTACACCTGGCTCCACGTCTTCCCACATGCCCCTATCTACTCTTCACATCACCTCCACCTCCGTGTCACCCTCACACTGACGACCAACTCGCCATTTCCCGTTCGGGTACCACTTGAGCGATGGTCTGACGTGTGATGTCACTTACTTGGTGGTTCATTTTCTCAGAGTATGGCCAATCCACCTGCATTTCTTCCTGCCTATTTGTTTCACAATCGGTTCCTGCTGGGCTGGTTCGCTCATTGCCAGAGATCTTTGTTGCTGATCTTTTCTGGGCATCTGATCTTGGCCATCATACTATTATAAATTATTAAAAATAATCCCAAAGTGTTTAGGACAAAAAAGATCAAAAACAAGATGAATTTTTTGAACATTTCGTTTTGTATGCCACAGCTACTTCAGCAGCAGAATTATTGGGATTTTATTAATCATCAAAATATATAGTCAAAAGCTACAAAAATTGGAGTGAGTTCTTTTGAAGGCCACTTGTCGATAGACACTTGTCAAATATTGGTTTTTGTAGGGATTTTGTTTGATTAGTTGGAAGATTTCACCATGAGCAGACATCAGTTAGAGAACCATTTGAAAACCAGCCAGCGAGTACTCTGAACAACTGTCTCGTCAGCCTAGTTTGCAACTCTTCAGTAGTACGCACACACCAATGGGGGAGGGGTTTGAACTCGGGACCTTCTGGTTACAAGGTGAGCTAGCTCGTAGACCATTAAGCCACTGGGACTCAATTGTGTGGCCCATGAATTGTACCAGCAGAAAAGTGTGTAAACAGCCATCACGTATTTGAAATGACTAATGTCTAATTGTCATTTGTGCATATTTGTCTGTATGAGTGTGTGTGTGTGCGTGTGTGAGTGTAAGTTATGTGTCAATTCATATGTGATAATCACTATAATGAAGGCTTTTGTGCTTCCCAATGAATGAAAAACAGAACGATATTGTTGTTTTTACTGACGTTTCGGTATTTGTGCGTCGGTGGCACAGTGATTAGGACTCTCGTCGACCATGCACATGGTCCGGGGTTCGAGCCCACGCCAACGCACACCTGATATCTATGGTCGACCTGCAAAATTTGGGCTACCGATATCCATGCTTAAAATTCCATACTTGTACCAAAAATACAGTGTGGAATCAAGCTGTAATCAAAAATAAAATAAAAACATTTAATGCTGCTGCTAATAGCTTTATCAAAGTAGTATTATGAAATCAGAATTTACGAAATCTCAGCATATATATATATATATATATATATACCGTTAAGGGGTGAGAAAATAGACAAGTTAGGTCAAGTTAAAAGGAGGGCATACTGAAAGTCGAAATAGCAATGAAGATCACTCAACCAAATATCAAAGGTAACAGTACGTCTGTTATGATATCATCAAAACAAAGTTTACTAACTTGATCATCGTTCGTCTGTCTGGTGTCGTTTTTGTTGTCAACTTGATCAATTGGTAACGATAACAAAACCAAGTGTGGATTGTTGGATTTAATCAGTGTGTAATATTACAAAAGTAGTGTGTGTTAACATAGTGAACTGGCTTATCACATTCGTGTTGATTTTATCACTTCATGGGGAGGGGAGGGAGGTGTTGTAACCAGGTTAGCTTCTGTTTCAGCCCATCATTCCTGTTCAGACAATTTGGATTCCGTATGATATGAAGTGCTTCTGATGGTATTAGACGTTCTTTGTGATATCTGACGTTTTTCTGGATTATTTCAATATTGTCAAAATCACTTTTGTGGCCTGATTCTATAGCGTGTAGACAAGCTATGGCTGATGATTTCTCAAGCTGTTCTAGTTCAGCTGGATTTCTTGGTGGACGAAGAGATGCTCAACGGTGTTCATTTCTTCTTCAGATTACCTTGACTTCTGGAGATGTTTGTCCGATGTATATCGCATTACATTCCAAGCAAGCATTTTATTTTAATAGACACAATTAGATAGAGAATCTTTAGGGATTTGGTCTTTTATATGGACAAGGTTCATTTAAAGTGTGTCTGATGTTTTGAATAAAACTCTACTGCCGAGCTGATTGAGTACTCTTCTCCCCCGTGAAGTGAGAAAATCAACACAAATGTGATAAGCAAGTTCACTGTGTAAACACACACACACACACACACTACTTTTATAATTTTACACACTGATAAAATCCAACAATATACACTTCATTTTGTTATCTTTACCAATTGACCAACTTGACAACGAAAAATGACCCCAGACAGACGAACGATGATCAAGTTAGTAAACTTTATTTTGATATCATAACAGACGTACTATTACCCTTGTTATTTGGTTTAGTGATCTTCATTGTTATTTTGACTTTCATTATGTCCTCCTTTTAACTTGACCTAACTTGTCTATTTTCTCACCCCTTAACTGTTTGTTGTATGTATGCTGAGATTTCGTAAATTCTGATTTCATAATACTACTTTGATAAAGGACTAAGTTAAACTTTAAGCACCACTAACTACCAATGGAGTGCAACTGCACCAATCACCTTGAAAAGCTCGCTGGGTAAGTTAGTGAAACCTGGCATCAATAAAATATACTCATCGAAGGGGTTATGTTATTAAATGGGGGTATCTGGGAAGTTTCAGCTTAGGTTTGCGAAAGATTAAGTTACTCTTTAAGCCAAGGACATGTTGGGGTTAGGTTAACCTAATAAAGACGACATTAGGGTTGGTTTGAGTTTAATTACGGTTAGTTTTTAGGGGATATTTTTACATTAGGGTTAGGTTCCAGAAAGATTAGGGTTATTGTTGGGGTTGGAAGACCTGAATAAATACATGCATAGAATGTAGTTAAATTACTCTGTTAATATAAGAATAGAACTTGTGTACTGTGGCGGAAGAGTATAATTCCACCGTTGGTAGAATTTATTTTGATAAAGTCTCAAAGTGTTATACAGTAGTAATATATACTGGTGACGTTTCGAGCACAATCTATTGCTCAGTAAATATTCTTTATTCTTTATTCTTTATGGTTACAGCTTGATTCCACACCGTATTTTTTGGTACAAGTGTGGAATTTTCAGCGTGGATATCGGTAGCCCAAAATTCGCAGGCCAACCATAGATATCAGGTGTGCGTCGGCGAGGGCTCGAACCCCGGACCATGTGCATGGTCGGCGAGAGTCCTAACCACTGTGCCACCGACGCACACTATAACACTATGAAACTTTATCAAAATAAATTTTACCTACAATGGAATTATACTCTGTTGATATAGCAGCCTAAACCTGAGAGCTATTTTTATCCCATGTGAGAGGAAGGTATCCTCTGTAACACTTTTCTACAGTTTTATGCATCTTTTTTCATAAATATATTTTTTTATTTTGATTACAGCTTGATTCCACGCTGTATTCTTGGTACTAGTATGGAATTTTCAGCATGGATATCGGTAGCCCAAATTTTGCAGGCCGACCATAGATATCAGGTGTTTGCCGGCAGGGGATCGAACCTCGGACCATGTGCATGGTTGGCGAGAGTACTAACCGCTATGTCACCGACGCATATAGTTGTAGTTCGTTCACTGATTAGCAGTTAGTGGTGCTTAAAGTTTAACTTTGCCTGATAAAGCTATTAGCAGCAGGATTAAATATCGAAACGTCAGTAAAACAACAATATCGTTTTGTTTTTCATTCATTGGGAAATACAAAACAGGCCTTTATTATAGTGAATATCATATACCCAATGCCCAAAGGTGAACTTGCATTGGACATATATATTATATGTGATAAGTGCGATAGTATTTTTGATTGGACGCTGGTTACTAACTAGTTTCATAGTCGTATTCACAAAGAAGTTCAGTGCTTGAAATGATTAAGGACTCATAGTCATTTCTTATCAGGATTAAGGGTAAAACAAATACTAACTGCTTGCAATTACCTCACCTTTTTTGAAAGTTATGGAAAGACTTATTTTACTTAATCTTGAACCCTCTTTAAAGCCTTTCAACGACCCTAACCAGTTTGCTTATAAACATAGTAGGTGTACGTTAGATGCCGCTGTTGTCCTACACCATAGCATAGTCTCTAGTTTAGATAAAGGAGCTAAATACGTTCGCTGTGCCTTCCTTGATTACACATCTGCATTTGACTCTGTTCCCAGCTCTCTCTTGCTAAGTAAGCTTGCTGCAACACGGGCTGAGAGCTGGATAAATAAGTGGTTGCATTCCTATTTTTCTGATAGGAAGCAGTACACCGTCTACAATGGAAAGTCCTCCACTACGTCATTTACTTTAGCTGGTGTTCCTCAAAGTGCTGTTCTTTCTCCCTTTCTGTTTTCGTTTTTCTTACATGACTTGCCTCATTCTGATGTAGCCACTTTTGTTAAGTATGCTGATGACCTCTCTGTTTCTATGCCTGTCAACTCTCAGTCAGACTGCTCCAAATTAAATAAATTTCTGTCAGAAATTAGTCAGTGGTCCTCTTCAAACGGACTTAAGCTTAATCCGGCTAAATGTCAGGTAGTCAGTTTCACTTTCAGACATAAACATGACCTACACCAACTAGCTAGGCCACATGGCCTCATTATCATTGACGGCATAAAGGTTGAAAATACATCTAATGTCAAGTACCTTGGACTGAGTTTTTCCATCGATCTTTCCTGGTCCTCCCGCATCTTGCTAGTTACTAGAAAGATGTTTCGCTTAACGTTCTACGTTAGCAAGTTAAGGCAGTATGGTATAAAGCAGTCTTTGCTTTCTCAGTTTGTCAATGATTGTATTCTACCCATCCTCCTTTACTGCTCCCCATTAGTCTTTCCTGGACTACTTAAGAAAGACTTTGCTTTGCTGAGAAGGGCACTAAAAGCCGTTAGTAGGGCAAGTGGGATGTCGTTTAACCAACTGGTTA